GTTACTCACTGCAGGATAAAATCCATGTTCTCTGGGGAAATCTGTCCAGTCACAGGATGTCGAAATGTGGTGGTCCTCTGGTTGTGACTGAAGTGACAGAAGGACAAGAGAGAAAACGAGAGAGGAGACAAAATTAGCAACTTTGGCTGCAATACAAACAGTGTTAGTGCATTATCCTGGATTTTCACCCTACTTTGTTTACAATTTCCACACAAGCCGAAAATTCCTCGGAGGAGTACACTTAACAGCTCTGTCCAACATCTCCACCCTGACAGGCGTTCGTCTCTGACTTTCCCAGCTCAGTGTAGAATGTGACGGGTGAATGCAGGACCCATCCCCACCCACTCACCCCACCCAACCATCCTGTACAGCCTGTGTGGAGTAAAGTGTTGGGCTCAGCACAAATGTCAAACAGTACAGGCAGGCATGGGCCTCCATCAGTTATAGACTCAGTCTTTCTAACCCTCAGCTAGAGGGTAAAAGCATTCGACTATGTAAACAACACAGGATGGCATGACGATCAAAGCCTGTGCGAGTTTGTGTGCGTACATGTGTGTGATGGCACTTTTTCAGAATGTTTTTTTGCATTGAGAAAACACTGACAGAAAGCCTTACTCTACATATATTCAGACCCACAATGACTAATCAATTTGTAAGCTGACAGAAAATAAATCACAGGAACAGGGGCTTGAGCCTATTCCAGCTACCATAGGGCGAGAGTCGGGGTACACCCTGTACAGGTCACCAGTCTGTCACAGGGCTAACACAGAGAGATAGACAACCACACTCACATTTACACCTATGGGCAATTTCGATTTAGCAATTAACATAACCCCACTAACTGCATGTCTTTAGACTGTGGGAGGAAGTCGGAGTACCTAGGGAGAACATGCAAACCCTACACAGATGGTGGAGTTGAACTCAGGACCTTCTTGCTGTGAGGCAAAAGTGCTAACCACCATGCTGCTAATAAAATGACATTTATTAAAAATAAAACAAGAAAAAAAGGAACAGCTCAGTGAGAGAAGTTAAAAGTTGCAGTGTTGTAATCAAAAGTCCAATTTTCAAAATCAAACAACAATGAAGGAGCTGACAGGGTAAAGTACAAAAGTCTTCTCCAAATACAATCAGTGGGTCATGGCACAGTTTTCCATTCCACAGCAGCTCCAGTAACTCATGCTGTAAAGAATCCTGCTTGATATAGCGGAAGATCAAATCCTACGGGAGTAGATGACACGGCAGCAGCATGCTCCGTAACAGGGACCTACAATGTCATTATCGACTCACAGAACAACACTTACAAGACTAACACAAAGAAAGTTCTCACATCTGAATGCAGCAGCTTCTCTTCAGCTCACCTTGGCTATTGACTGCTGTTACAGTTTCCCTTTATGTCATGTGAATTACTTCCACCACTGCATCTACTATTGCTAAAAAAAGAAACACATCCAAGGTGTTGTTTTTTTTTTTTTGATTTAGTTTTTTTAAAGCCAGCTCTCACTCACACTGCTTAAAAATGTGGCCATGATGTCGTTGTTGTTGTTTTTCTGCAGAAATGAAAAATTGAAAAGACATAAAAAAAATATAGGAAAAGTTATTCAAACTCTAACTCAGACTAGCAGAATGATCCAAGTTTCCCAAAAGTAAGGTAACAGCTTATGCTTGACTCATTCCTCTGTGTCTGATGCAGTCATTTTTCACCACGCACAGGTACTGTTTGAAAAATACTTTCACTAATCAAATGAATTAAACACACTACCTAGTCATAACTGGCAAGATTAAGTTTTGTGTCTGCTATAGTGCCGTGGAATTTGGCCTTGTGTGTGTAAAACAATAGCATGTAGTGCAATGAGAACAGCACCTCAACACAATTAATTACATTCTACAGTGGCCTACAGAGGACCTGCTAACATTTACACATGCACATGGCCACAAAAAATACCTACAGAGTAAATCCATACTAATGTGCTAAAAACATAAAGACCTTTTACTCCTAATCCAAAGATGGGGTTAGTCATCGTGCCACACAAATGCATCAACGGGACAAAAAGATGGGACAGTGCTCTAGATAACAGAGACAGGGAACTATGACCATAGTTTTACTATAACTAGGATCCCTTTTTTTGTCTACTGTGTTGCAGGGAGAAGCTCTGAATTAATAATTGTCTGATCAGCAAGGAATGCTAATCAATCAGCTGTGGTGAGAATAGAGAAACAGACTGTTCTGACAGGCCTGTGAGTGTGTAAGTTATGCCTGAAACTCTCTCTAGGCAACAAATTCGACAACAGAGTGTCATCCGAGTTTACCGAGGGACACAAGTGACAATGTTTTGCAGGCTGCAGGAAGTAGATCCGTTTTTTTTTTTGTTTTCAGAAATCATAATGAAACAAAACTGTCAACATGATTTGGTCATGGTGGTAATTTCTGAAAAGGTATGAAAATCCATGAGCTGTGACAAATCGTGTAAAGGGATTTCACAAAAATCTGTAGTATAATGGCTGCAAGCTTAACGGGGCTAACGGGATAAATATACCATTAACATCATTAATGGTTTAAAGCATTATGTAAAAGCAGTGTATTTCAGCAATTTACATTTGGCAAACTATAAATGCATGATTTACAAAATGATTTTATTTGCAGTGATGAGAGGTGTAGGACTATATGTCATTAACACAAAAGTGCAAAACCTAATAGGTACATGCAGAATTCAAAGCAATCTTATGAAATTAAATGCAGCGTACTAAATCTATTAACACTCTCGTTTTAGCTCACCATTAAATGGTCAAGAGGTGTTTTTGAATGCTGAGGTCACAGTCACCTCAAATCCTTTCAGTGGATGGATAAGTAAATTTGATTATATATTGATTGCACACATACAAACAAAGGCTTGTTTACTTCGGAGCTGATTTGGTCGAGCTGATTCGGAGCACTTCTCCAGGGGAAACTGATAAAGCCATATCGGACTATTCACAGAATATGAAGAAGAACAGCGTGTAAGTGTCCTGGAGGCTGTTTATCAGCAGCGGTGATTTCATTCAGCAGCGAGGTTCAAAATAGTACAAGATATAATAGGTGTGATAGTGTCACTTCAGAAAAACGTAGGCAATGAGGACCTGAGCTGTGAAAGGAAAAATGTTGAATCCAGTGCTAACAGCTTTATATAGCAAGCTTTTAATAATGTCCTTTCACACTGAAAATGAAAGACATTTTCGCAATGCACCTGACATCTCTGGGTTCTTTTGCTGCTAAGTGTATTTTGTGTATTTCCTTTCCTCTTTCACTCATTGCAATGTCTGTCATGGGGAGCTTTAGTAGACCTAAATAACAAAATATCACAAAAAATGACATGAAATGCAAAATAGATAATATCATAGAGTTGTGGTTGCCTTACAGACACCAATTTGACGTTAAAAATTTGAAATCTTAACACAGCCGTTTATTATTAGTTCTTTATTTTTCCAGGTAAAAAAAATGTCATTGAGATTAAAAATCTAATTTCCAAGAGAGACCTGGCAGAGACCTGAGTTTTTAAACATAAAGGCTACAATTCAGAAATATGCCTTTTGAGCATCAACAATCGAAGCTTACAGGACACCAAGTGCAGCAGATTTATTGACAAGTACAAAGCTTATTTTTATGCCTGGGTGATATCTGCAGGTGAAAGGTATTTGTAGTATTCTGTTGCTTCTGTCACTAAAAACGCGTAGCACTCACTTCAGAAAAGATGATTAGATCTATTGGAGATCTAATGGGAGCTACAGATGAGATTTCTGAGGCAGCCCCTAAGAGGTGTAGTTTCTTTTGTCCGTGCAGCTGCTTCAGTTTTCCCTTCAGGAGAAGCTTCTCATATGGGTGTCGGTGGGAGCAATGGTCAACAGGAAATCCGTGAGAAATTAATGCGAACTGAGGCCTATAAGTCTATTTTTTTTAATGTTTAGTGACCCTCACAGATTAAAAATAATGCTTCATACTTAGTGTTATAGTTGTTTGCTATAGATAAGTATCTAGTAGTAAATGGTCAATTTTGTTAAATCCTAATCCTAAGTGACAGCTAACTTTACAGTTTTGTTTACTACATTAGCCATCATTAGCTAGCAGTGTTGGTCAAGTTACTTGAAAAAAGTAATCAGTAACTAATTACTGATTACTACCCCAAAAAAGTACTCCTGTTACTTTACTGATTACTTATTTTCAAAAGTAATTAATTACTTAGTTACTTTTTAAAAACACGATTTACAACCTGAATAGGTAATAAAGCTTTCAGATCTTTCAGCCCAATTCTACTTTTTCTGCATAATCCATCATACAAAAATGTAATCAAATGAAAAAGTCTCTTTTTTTAAAACTTGTTTTATCAGTTTTAATCTTTTAATTTTATGCATCAAGCAAAAATTAAATTATATGCACCATTGTCTGACTTGAAGAAATTAGTTTAACATTTAAACCTATTTTCTGCACATTCCAGCACATAAAATAAAATATTTTTTGTGTTTACACTCAGTCTTTCAAATAGATGCAAGTAAAATACAGCAGATAATAAATAAAATCAAAGACTAGCGGTCCTGTTGCTCTATTTTCACCTGTAAAGCAGGCGGAGGTTTGCCCTGGTGCAGGTGTGCCGCAGCGGTCAGTTGAAGAATCCGCGAGTTTCTCTGTGAATTTCCCATTATGTCGTTGCGCACTCGGTGCTTGTTTAGGGTTTTTTTCGCTGTAAAAAGAAGTTTTCTTCCCACGCACAATGGACGCTAATGTTTTTGTCACTTTTTATGGAATCAAACTCAAAGTAAGGTCAGTACTTCCACGCTTTAAACGCTGCACGCTCATACTCTCTCCCGTACTCGATATATGATCCATTGTTGATCTGCACACAGCTGTTGTCACGAACGTCGCACTCGCCTATGTCACTGTCATGAGACATTCTCGCAGAAAAAAAATAATAAATTAATTAATTAATTAATTTTAAAAAAATCACGGTTTTAGTAACGCAGTAACGCAGCGTTCCTACGAGAAAGTAGCGGTAATCTAATTACCGTTTTTGCAATAGCAATCCCTTACTTTACTCGTTACTTGAAAAAAGTAATCAGAT